CATGCCTCCATCTCCACCTTGGATCCTGGTCACTGTCCTGTCTACCTCCACTGTGCCCTCCAGGCTCGGGCAGCGCTAGGTGCATGGCCCATGACAGAGGCACAAACATGATACCTGTCAGGTCCCACCTACTGATGCTGGGTGACAGCTAAAAACAGGGACTTAGTCACTCTCTCAGCTCCTGGGGCCATCTAAAAATCCCTTCACATGCTGGGCACTGGTGGGTCACACTGTAATTCTAGCTACTCAGGAGGCTGAGAGTTGAAGATTGCAGTTCAAAGCCAGCCTGGGCAGGGAAATCCGTGAGACTCTTTTTTTTTTGGTCTGGTCATGGGGCTTGAACTCTGGACCTGGGCGCTGTCCCTCAGCTCTTCAGCTCAAGGCTAGCGCTCTACCACGTGAGCCACAGTACCACTTCCTGCTTTTTTTCTTTTTGCTTATGTGGTGCTGAGGAATCGAGCCCAGGGCCTCATGCATGCAAGGCAAGCCCTCTACCACTGAGCCACCTTCTAGCCCCAAGACTCTTAACTCCAACAAACTACTCAGAAAAAACTGGAAGTGGTGCTGTGGCTCAAGTGGTACAGCACTCACCTTGAGCACAGAGAAACGCTGGAACAGTGCTTAGGCCCTGAGTTCAAGCCCCAGGACTGAAAAAAGAAAAGACAAAAAAGCTTTACAGAAGTTCAGAAGAGGGCTGGGGGCATGGTTGGGGGTAAGAAAGATGAGAGCTTAAGGCCCTGAGTTCAAGTCCCAGTGTGCACACACACACACACACACACACACACACACACACACACACGTATGTGCGCCTGTACACACACACACTAAAGACAGTGCTGAAGCTCTGAGGTGGTCATAGCCAGGAGACAGGATACAGAGAACAATGGTCAAGCTGAGGGGAAATGAGCCCAGGGCTCAGGTCCTGCAGAGGTCCCGGACAGAGCAGGCGGGGCAAAGCCACAGGTGACAGGGGATGCAGGCCATCTGCAGCAAAGGTCACTCGGGTTGTGTGGTTCCCCCTGCGCCCACCGGGAAGCAGCACCCCCCTCCCATGCTGGCCACCGCCTCCCCCACTGACCTTGGGGTGGAGCCACTCCCGGGGTACAGCAGGGTGTACCCTCATGCTTCCTTCCTGATCCCTGCTCTCTTTCCCTGGAGTTAATAACAGACGGTGCTCGCCTTCCCTCCCTGCTTCCTATGCACTTGGATAACCCAGGCGGCCCATCACCTCCTGTCCAGAGAGTCCCCCACAGGACCCCTGACCCCACCCCTGCAGGGTGCCTCTCACCCTCGGAGTCAAGGGACAGTGATGAAGATGGCACCCCATGCCATTAGACACCTCCTTAAAGTTTGGGGGGCTTGTGGAGCCCACTGGCACTGACCAGGCCTGAGTGGGATTTTGTGCTGCGGAGCTCGGGGAGCCGGGCCTGCCCCTCAGTGCAGGCAAAGCTTTCCACCTGGGGTGCATTGTTTTCTTTTCTAGAAGCAGTCTTCCTTGTGCCCCACTTCTGAAACCTTGCAGCAGAGTGCTTTGGAGTGGGCCACCCAAGGTCCCTTACCAGCTAATTCTCAGCCCACAGTGTCACACACACCTTCCAACTTGGCTTCCCCAACTCCTGCCTGAAGTTCAGCCTCTGTCTCTGTACAGCTCTGATGGCTGCTCTGGAACCTGAGGAGCATGGCAGTGGGGGAGCAGGGGGGGGGCAGGTGTAGGAACATACCTGTGCTTTCCTTCTTGGGGCTGAACACAGGGTGAATCCCTTCCACCCAGGAAGACTGGACTCTACAGAGCTATTCAGGAAGGCTGGGTGCAGTGGTACATGCCTGTAATCCCAGCTAGCCAGGAGGCAGAGGGAGGAGGATTGAGCATGGAGGACAGCCCAGGCTCTGTTCTTATCCACAAATGTTCCCACTCTCCTGCTCCCCACAGCAGCAGTAAAGACACCAGAGACCCAAGTGTTCCTTCTGCTCATTCTGGCCTCCATCTGCTGTGGCCTATAGCTGCCTCACCATCCTGCTTAGCTGCTGAGATTTCAGGATGGGGTTTGAAGGAACTGCGAGAGGCTGAGAATCCTGGGCCAGGCTATTATGAGATCTGCTGGCAAGAAATCCAGCTGGGCAGCCCTATGTGGGGAGAGCCCACCAATGTCACGAATTTGAGGTCTTTGCTCTTGAGTCTTCCTCTGGCATGGAGGGAGGGGCCCAGCTGGTCACAGCCCCTCCCCTCAACCAAGCCTGTAGCCAAAATAGTTAGAGGAAACCTCATCCTCCACAAAAGCAGGAAACCATGTTAGAGATGGGGTTATGTTCAGACACATCTGTGGGCTGGGGTGGGGTGACCAGGCCACAAGCCAGGGCTTCCACTGGCCAGCTCCTCTGTGAGTGTGAAACTTACAGTGACCTGCTGTTCCACCACTTGAACCACAGCTCCACTTCTGACATTCTGGCAGTTAACTGGAGATAAGAGTTTCACTGGCTTTCCTATCCAAATTGGCTTCAAACTGTGATCCTCAGATCTCAGCCTCCTGAGTAGCTAGGTTTACAGGTGTGAGCCATGGGTGCCCAGCTCCTATGTTGTTTGTACATGGTAGACTAACAAGGTCTCATTTACCTACAGCCAGCTGCTTTCCATCCCAGGCAACCTTCTGCCCTGGGCCTCTCTAGAATGAAGCTCCTGCAGCCTCGATCCTGTGGTCAAAGAAGAAAGATATACAGAAGCAGAAGAGAAACTGCATATACAGGATCTTGCTGGTTTTCCCTAGGGTTTCTCACCTTCAGCAGGCATCCTTCACCCTGATGGCTAACAAGCACCCCGGATTCTACACATCTCACAATCACATGAGGCCTGGGGAAGACCCTAGGTTCAAACCCCAACAGCACAGAAACCCATCTTCCCCATCCCTACTGTCCTCCAGCTCCACTCTCAGTGAGAAATCTGCTACCTTTGCCTCCTCCCCTCCCTCCCTCTCACTCTCTCAGCTGCTGCTCCACAAAGCAGCCTGCACCTCCCCAGACCCTGAACACACCCCTCCCTTCCCATTACCACTAGTATAGCCAGAGCAGAGCACACATACCCACTCCAAGCCTCCAGGGCTCATCTCACAGTGCATCATCATTCCAGACCTTTCACAATCAGACACTTAGCTTTCCAAAGCTGAGCATGGTGGTTAGACACCTGTAATCCCAGCTACCCAGGAAGCATTAAGTAGGAGAATCACAGTCCAGATGGAGCCAGGCCAAAAAACAAAAAGAAAAGAAAAGAAACCTATCTTTCTACCCAATCCTGAACCCCATCCAGGTGAACACAGTAACTGAGCATATCCCAAACATGTCCACTTCCACACCTCTGTCCACACGGCTGCCTCCACCTAGAATGTTCTCCCCAAACAGCAAAGCTCAATTCCTATGTCTTCTCCCAGAACTCTTCATGCTCTATCAATGCCCAAAGCAGTCTCTCTAATATGCATGAACTCCCAGGCCAAAGCGAGTTGCCCAGGGTGGGCAGACCCCACTTTCCAGCTTCCAGCCCAACTTGGCAACCTGGCACGTGCACATTTAACAATGTCTGCTGAGCTAAGGAAGCAGGCACACATACAATTCCTGGTCACCATAAAGTTCTACCAGACCTGCAAACACCAGCCCAAATCCTGTCAACTCATCTGCAAAGAAATTCAGCACCTGGCCACCCCAGACTGGCTTTTTTTTTTTTTTTTTTTTTAATGCTGGTACTGGGGATAGAACTTAGGGCCTTGGTACTGTCCCTAAGTCTGCAGGCTAGGGTTCTACACATGAGCCACAGCTCCACTTCCAGCTTTTTGATGGTTCATTGGAGATAAGAGTCTTTTGGACTTTCCTGACCAGACTGGCTTCAAACTATGATCCTCAGATCTCAGCCTCTTGATTACAGGCATGAGCCACTGGTGTCTGGCTCAGAAGGACACTGTTGAAGCTGAAACTTCCTATGGCAATTTCCTAATTCCAGGTTTTCTCTCCTCTGTATGCAGACACCAACCCTCTCCCTCATTCCCAACACTAGAGGAGGGCTAAACCGCATCTTTCTGGAGAGTGGGGAAGGAAGGGATGGTGAAAGGGTGAGGAGTTGGTCCCCAGTTGCACACAGCCTGGAGCCCCCTGTGTGGCACCAGCCATCCAGGAAGTATTGCATGCATCCTGATTGCAATTCACATCCTTATTCATCCCTGGCTTCCAGAGCCTCTATGGCTTCAGATTTATGAAATAAATAATTAATAATTATGCAAACACTACAGCTTGTTGTACTCCCTGCCAGACAGAACCTCTACCCCAGCCCAGGGTTTGCCAGACACGTCTTGGTGGCCATGAGCCTATAGGGAAGATAGGTCCCACTGCCCGCAGTTTTCTGTTTTGTTTTTGCCCAAGATGAAAGGTGCCACTTTCAGGGACCGGCCCACCTCCTGCCTGTGAGACTAGAAGGCAAGTTGAGGGGCTGGAAGATGCCCAGCAGAGTCTCCAGAGGTGGGGGGAGGGACGCGAGGTGGGTGGTCAGGGCAGTCCCTGCCTGGGGGACCGTCTTGGTCACTCTGGCCAGCAAAAAGTGACCACAGATGGGAAGTTTTCTAGAACGCTTCCCGGGAGGCTGCAGCACGTCCGTGAACAATTACAGATTTCTCTCCCTGATGACGAAGTAACCAGAGCACAAAACTGATAACCAGCAGGGCCAGGTGCTGGAGGCCACCAGGGAGAGACATGGGACCAGGGGAGACTACACACGTTTGTTCTGGGGCTCGGACCCCCCACAAGAAGAGAGATCGGAGCGTGTGAGGCTCGGGCCAAGGTCATACAGCGCGCGGGCCGGCCCGGGGACTCGAACCCCTGGCCGCGCGGGACCTGCCCAGGCCGGCCAGGGTGGGGAACCCACCTGCGCCCCTCAGCAAGGGCTGGATCCTCGACGCTAGCCCGCGGGATCTCACCCCACACCCGGATCCAGGTGCCAAGCTCCCCTCGCCCGCCGCACCCCTCACCTCGCCCCGGTGTGCGCCCGGGTCAGCGCCCCGCATCTGCCGCGGCCGCCGCCTTCGCCGCCGCCGCCGCCGCCGCAGCCGCAGCCTCCGGACCAGCCGACCCTCCCCAGGCGCAGCCCCGCCCCCGCCGCCGGAGCCCCGCCCCACAGGGTCTCGCGAGAAGTCTCCGGGAAGGCCACGGTGGGTGCCCACCTTCAATGCGCCTGCGCCTTCTCGTACACTGCCTCTGCCCCGCCTTGGCTAGACTGTGCCATGTGGCGCGGTATTTACGGCCAGCGATTAGCCACGCCTACTAGCCGCTGGGCGTCACGCCCCCTTCCATAGCATCCAATCCTCGAGATGGATCTGCGGCTTTGGGGGCGGGAGCAGCGCCTGTAGGAGGAGCCTGTTCTGCAAATGCAGCGGAAAAGGACAACACGTTAGCTGCCTTTCATGGGGGTTGGGGTCGGGGGATACAGGTTGAGAAGGAGGTACGACTTCTTTGGGATTGTCTTTAAATAATTTTTTTTCTAAAGGCTTGCAGCCGGATGCTCTAAGCAGAAGTGAAGCTGTGTCAAAAAAGCTCAAGGAGACAGCACCTAGGCCCTGAGTTCAAGCCCCAGTAGCAGAAAAAAAGAAAAAAAAAGCTTCCATGCCTTTGTTCAGAGGCGCCCCAGACTGCAGAAGTTCAGGTGACCCAATACTGTGCAGCCACACAAAGGATCAGTGCATGCAACAATGCAGACAGTGCTTGTGACCCTGCAGAAGATGCATGCAATGATGCTGGGCACCTCCCCTCAGATACACCGTGCATTTGAGCTTCTTGCCAAGTAAAAGCAGCCCAGCTCATGTGTGGTGTGAAGCCATCTGCCGGATGCTCTGAGAAAGCCAAAGGACAGGAAGGTGACCTCTAGGACTGGCCCTGGAGAGGAGTCACCATCAAGGGGCAGCTGGAGCGGTTCTGTGTCCTGGGTGTGGTGGCTATATGTACACATTTATGAGTGCCCATGCATTCAGCTGTGCACTTACATGACACTTTACCAAAGGCAAATTACACCTCCATTTAAACCATCTTTTAAAGTGTTATTTCCCCTAATAGAGATTTTGCTAGTACATCAGTCATGGACCAAGATAGGCCAGTATTCAGTGCTGCTCAATTCATGAATGCTTCCGCTAGGATAGCTGTTTGTTCCGGAACTGCTAAAATGGTAATTTCACTCTGTGAAAAGCTTTGCTGGGTTTTTGTTAAACTTTGTTTTGGGGGAGGGTGATTGGGGGCTGGAGGAGAAGGTGGGAATCAGAAAGGGTGTTGTTTGTTTGACAACAGTGACTTTGAACCTGGACTTGCTACTAGCTTCACAGATGCTCAATCACTAATCTCATGCCTCTAATCCTTTGTTGTTGTTGTATTTTAAATAAGGTGTTGGGCTGGGAAGATGACTCAGTGGTAGAGCGCTTGCCTTGCATGCTTGAGGCCCTGGGTTCGATTCCTCAGCACCACATAAGCAAAAAGAAAAAAGCCGGAAGTGACGCTGTGGCTCAAGTGGTAGAGCGCTCGCCTTGAGCTGAAGAGCTGAGGGACAGCGCCCAGGCCCAGAGTTCAGACCCCATGACCGGACCCAAAATAAATAAATAAATACGATGTTGCTGGCCTGTGCAGGTGGCTCACGCCTGTAATCCTAGCTACTCAGGAGGTTGAGATCTGAGGATCACCGTTCAAAGCCAGCCCAAACAGGAAAGTCAATGTGAGGCTTTTATTGTGGCACCACCTAAGGTTTTCTGGTGGTTTATTGGAGATTAAGAGTTTCACGGATTTTCCTGCCCCAACTGGCTTTGAACCGAGATCCTCAGTTCTCAGCCTCCTGAGTAGCTAGGATTACAGGTGTGAGCCACTGGTGCCCGGCCGTGAGACTATTATCTCCAATAAACCACCAGAAAACCAGAAGGGGTGCTGTGGCTTGAGTGGTAGAGCATTTGCCTTGAGCTGAAGAACTGAGGAACACTGCCTAGGCCCAGAGTTCAAGCCCCACAACAGACCAAAAAAAAAAAAATGTTGCTTTTTGCCCAGCCTAGCCTGGACCAGGATCCTCCTATTTATGCTTCTCCAGCAGCTGGGGTGACAGGCAAGTGCCACTACATCCAGCTTTTATTAGTTGAGATGGGAGTTTCACACATTTTTTTGCCCTGACTACCCTCAACCCATAATCTTCCTGATCTCTACCTCCCAAATAGATAGGATTGCAGGCATGACTCACCACACCTAGGCTTGTTTTGGGTTTTGAGACAATGTTACTATGTAGCCCAAGCTAGCCTTGAACTCATGATCTTCTTGTCTTTAGGTATATCAAACACCCAGATAGGAATTTGAACAAAGTTATAAAGGCCATTTACTCAGGGTTGAAGGGTGCTTCTCTTCCATTCTGGAAGAGGAAATGGGGAACAACTGTATAGCCAGCGCCAGATCCCTTTTTGGAGAGATGCAAACATTTTGTAATTAGTTAGATGGTTGGTGCAACATTGTAAGTAAACTAATTATCATTGAGTTGTTTGGTTTAATTTTTTTTTCTAGTCCTGGAGCTTGAACTCAGGGCTTCTTTTGAGCTTCTTTTGCTCAAAGCTAGCACTCTACCACTTGAGCCACAGCACTCTTTCTGGCTTTTTCTATTTATATGGTATGGATGAATGGAACCCAGGGCTTCAAGCATGCTAGGCAAGCAGTCTCCCACTAAGCTACATTCTCAGCCTAAAATGTTTTGTTTTGATTCTTTAAAAAAAAAAATCTTAGGTTAATTTCACTTCTACATATCAAAACAGTATTGGTGTGGAACTGAGAACCTCTTACTTGCTAGGCCAGGGCTGTCCCACTGGAGCCCCACCCCCAGCCCTCTGGTTTGCTTTTGTGTGTGTGTGTGTCTGTGTGTGTCTGTGTCTGTGTCTGTGTTGGTCATGGGGCTTGAACTCTGGGCATGTGCACTGTTCCTTAGCTCTTCAGCTCAAGGCTAGAGCTCTGCCACTTGAGCTATAGCGCCACTTCCAGTTTTCTGGTGGTTTGTTGGAGATAAGAGTCTCACAGACTTTCCTGCCCTGGATGGCTTTGAACTGTGATCCTCAGATCTCAGCCTCCCGACTAGCTAGAATTGCAGGCGTGAGCCACCAATGCCAGGCTGCATTTTGTTTTTGATATAAGGTCTCTGCTACCTTTGCTTGGCTGGCCTCAAACTCCAGATCCTCCTGCCCGCCTTCCATCCTTCAAGTGATTACAGGAGTGCATCACCACATTGGGCAAAGTGCACTTTGTAAATTGGAAACAAGCAGAAACATTTTTACTTGCTCTTTGAAATCGATACTTACGAATCTTCCCATTTTCTGAGAAGAAAGTCCGGGCTCAGAGGTTCAGCTGTGTTAGTCACACAGCTGTAAGTGACAGTTGTGACCAAAATTCAGAGCTGGAGTTAGGGGACTTTCCAGGGGGTTTTGCTAGGGAGAGCACCTGCTGGGAGGGGGACATCTGTGACCTGGAAGCAATACAAACCAACTATGTCTTGTCTTTCTTTAGGCTCTAAGTTCCTTCAAGTGGGTGGCCCCAGCTTTGCTGACCTTCCTTCTGAGCCCCAGCAAAGGCAGTGTCCCCTACTGGAGCTCAGCCTGGATTTCAGGGGAATTTGCTATGTCCCCCATGTGCTGTGACTGTGTGGCTGGGGTAAGAATGAGGTTAGAAAATGTCACCTGTGCCAGGCACCATTGGCTCATGCCTGTAATCCTGGCTACTCAGGAGGCTGAGATCTGAGGATCACAGTTCAAAGCCAGCCTGGGCAGGAAGGTTTGTGAGACTTTTATCTCCAATTAACCTCCAGAAAACCGGAAGTAGCACTGTAGTAGAGTGCTCACCTTGAGCTGAAGAGCTGAGAGACAGCACCCAGGTCCAGAGTTCAAACCCCAGAACCGATTAAAAAAAAAAAGAAAAAGAAAATGTCAGCTGTTACTGAAAGAGGTGCTGGCCCAGCCTAGGGCAGCATCTGAGCTCTGTTCCTGACTTAGGCTCATAAATTAGCTGGGGGCAGGATAGAGGTTAGACACCCCACACTCCTCCATTTTGAATTTGTGCCCTGGGCCCTGGGCCCTCTCTTTCCTGCAGCCATCTTAGAAGCCAGCAAGGGCCAGCCCAGCAGCCAGGTGTCAAGGACTTTTAGATTGTAACAAGGCCTCACCTGAACACTCCTAATACAGTGGCCTGCCAGAAAAAGCCAGAAATGGCACTGTTGCTCAAGTGGTAGAGTGCTAGCTTTGAGCAAAAGAAACTCAGGGACAGTGCCCAGGCCCTGAGTTCAAGCCCCAGGACTGGTAAAAACAACAACAACAACAAAAAAAAAACTGTATAAGGTCCCTTCCATTTAGATAAAAGTTGATGGGTAGGAATTTGGGCAGGAAGCTGCTATCTGAGCTGGGGGACTGGAGGCCACTTCTGAAGCCTCCTGTGACCTGGGACTATCTTAGCTCTACCACTCCTCTCCCCCACCCCCAATTCTCCCTATTTAACCTGAGGCCACTGTGTACCTTGAAGATGTTCTGAAGCTCTGTCTTTTCACAGCTGCTATGAAAAACATCTTCTTCTCTGCCCTCCACCTCATCTCATTTGGCAGATGGGTGTGATCTAACATAGGTCCTCTGGATTTGGGCCTGGGATTGTCATACGATGCTGTCTGGGAACCTTCACAGGTAGCTGTTATGTAATGTAAAGGTCACCAAAGGTCAGCCTCCCCAGGCAGCCAGAGAAATGCTTTTGCAGACCATAATGCAAAACAGGCTGCCCTGGCCTGCTTCACGGAAATGGATTTAATTCTTTCTTTTTTCTTTTTTGTCAGTTGTGGGGCTTGAACTCAGGACCTGGGTGCTATCCCCAAGCTCTTTTGCTCAAGGCTAGTGCTATACCACTTTGAGCCACAGAGCTACTTCTGACTTTTGTGGTTAATTGGAGGTTAGACTCTTATGGGGCTGGGCACCAGTAGCTCACGCCTATAATCCTAGCTACTCAGAAGAGATCTGAGCATCCAGGTTCAAAACCAGCCTGGGCAGGAACATTATTGA